TCACATGCCCCCACCCCACACCACTAGACTCCCAGTGGCCACTTAGAGGCCACTTCTGGGAGGAAAACTGGCAGTAAGTGCCACGTTTGCGTTTTATGCTTAATGCAACACTGGTGTTCCTCAGCTGATGCTCATCGGAGTCAGGCATCATCTGTCCTGATGCAAGATGTGGAGGAGCTGTACATCAGCAAGCTTTTGCATTGGTACAGCTCTTCTGCAAAACTTCACTCCTTTCTGGTTTTTGTCTTAATCTTCCATGCTAGGATAGAGTGGATAAGCCTGTTGGAGGTATCTATCTACTCACTGGTGACAGAGATGCCTGAAGTTTAACCACATCAACCTGAGGTAGCAAAAAAGTGTGTGAGGTAAATCCTCCCATCTCTCTCTGTTGACAGTCCATGACTACTACCCCTTTCCATGTTTTGGATGGCCTTATCAGTGCTTCCCCAGCTGCTCCATCATTTCTCCGGCATTAGGATGGGGACTGCAGGTTTTTAGCTCTTGAGGAGCTGTCCATCGGCATGAACAAGTTTGTTAAAACCTCTTTGTCTCCTGAGAAGTTAAATATTTGAGAAGTAGTAAAGTCCAGGTTGGAGGAAAGAGGGAATGAATCTTTGAAACTGGGTGGGAAAAAGCTCTTGATGCTGAGGTATAGATCATGCTAAGGAAGTAAGAGAAGCAAAAGGAAATACATCCTTTCAGCTTAGGAAGCTGAAAAGCTCCTTTCTATCCCCTTGGACCAGTCTGAGATAATAAGGCTGCTGCCTTTCTGATTAGTGCTTTGTGGCCCCAGCCCAGGCAGGGGGAATCTGCATTTCAAATGGCATATTTTAAAGAACACAATACCCAGGGGCCCTGCTACTATTGATTTGCCTCCAGTGGGGTCAGTGCCTCACTTTCTACAGCTTTATTAGCTGGGACCATACATTGGGCCTCTTTCAAAGTAAAAGGAGAGTGGATGGGACATTTGTCTTCAGGGGGAGCTGGGGAAGGAGTGGGGTGACTTTTATAGGGAATGCCTGGAGGTTTTATAAGGGACACTGGTGACTTGCCTTCCTTTTGCAAATTTGCTCAGAAACACCTTGGGGGGAGAAGGAGGTAGCTCTATCCTGACAGTTTCTTTCAAGGTGACCAAGTCCCTGTCTTCCCATCTCAGTGGTACTGCTGCACTTGGCCAAGCTGTGGTCATCAGCTGCTGGGCTGGGTAGGACCTCCCTTCTCTACCCCATTAGGAAAGGTATGAATGGGAAACGTGACTGCAAAAGCGTGGCAGTACTGTCAAAGGTTGAGATGTCCAGACATGTTTAGTCCTCTCTGAGACAGAGAAGCAAGGTCAGTTAATTGGGGTACATAGCTATGTTCAGGTATGGGATGACATAATCCTTCCAGCTCTGGAGGACACACTGGCTTACCCCAAGGGCTTGCTCCGAAGGCTGCAGAGGGGTGTACATCCTCTGGGTCATAAAGTGTAGGGCTCCAGCTCATTTCAACATGCCAAAGGGTTTGTTTGCCAGGTCTCCAGGGCATCTTGGAGTGCACCAACCCAGAGCACTAAGCATGACAGAAATGGGGTGGCTGTAGCAGAAGCAACTGAATCTTGTTTTCCAAATCACAGGTTAGGTTCTTATTTTAACTTCACTAGCTTTTTAACACCAAGCTAAACTTCTTTCCTCCAAGTTCCTAAGTCAGTCTCTGGGATTTCAACCAGTTTTAAGTGACTATTTCACCAAAACTCACCAGGCTTTAGACTGCAGACCCTGCACCTTCAGCACTAATCATGAGATGAGGATTATCTAGTTCTTCCCATAAGGAGAGAGAAAATATGTTCTTCTTTCTGAAGATCTGTGGCAGAACTGCATGAATGACATTACACTACAAAAAGGAGCACGCATGTAGCCAAGGTATATTCTACAAGCATGCATCTTTCAGTGCAAATTTATAAGCCTTCTGAACGCACAAGAAGTCACATATTCAGGTTACCTGGTTTGCAAACCAGGAGGAGCACCTTCTGTTGTGGAGTTAACTATGAACAGTTTAGAGATATCTATAAGGAGGAGGAGAAGTTGCATAAGCCATCAATAATATCACATGTGATTTCCTAGTGCGAAATGGAGATTGTCTTTAGAGCACCACAATCATTTATAATCCTATTGGCGATGTGCTATCTTTTAGAGAGAGCCCTGTTTCCCTTGCAGCACATATGAAACATAAACAAAAAAAAAAGAGGATTAACAATTTTCTTTTAAATGGTTGGGAAACAAAGTCCAAAAGTATCTGCTGAGGGCCAGGTAAAGGGTAGGAATGATTTCATCTGACTGTGCTGCCATGTGCATTAGAACTGATCACTTGGAGCTCCACATACTATCGCTAGAGAGAAACAAAGCTGCAATTCATATCCCCAGAGGCCCTAGCGTACAAAAGGGAAAGATGAGTTTTGGCCTAGAATCCTTTGCCCATTATCACATCAACCATAATAGGTGTCCAGCTCAGAGAAAACCTCATGTCTATTTAGTTTACTAAATCTTGTGGTGGGAAATGACAAAACGATAGTCTCCTGCCTGTTTTAGAAGGTTTGTGGTACTAATACCCAGCTGTTATGTGACAGCAAGACTGACCACAGCACACACATGACCAGCCACATGTCACTCCATGGACTGTGGTGGGTTTGTTCATGCAGCTCTAGTCAGCTTGGAGAAGCACAAACAAAAGTCAACAAAGACCAGACTGGGCTGTTCCCAGCCCTTGCAAGTGTGTCCATCTCAGAGACATGTTTCTTTGATCAGCATCTCTGAACAGTTCCTATAGGCTATCATTTCTGCTATAAGCTACCGTTCCTGCAACCAGCTGTTTATTTTTCAGCTGTCCCCAAATGAAGATACCCAGCAGAGAAAATGAGGTACGAGTCCAGACCCCCAACACTGGAGTCAAGCCGGTACTAAAAATGGATGAATTCTCCCTTTCTTATTCACCTGCGTTGGCATACTTGCTAAAATCACCTGCTCATTGACTCCTCTGGAGAATAAACGCAAATGATGCCTAGAAACAAATGTACTCTTTAATGGGAATCAGCATTGTGCTATAATAGAAAAGATTGTCTAATCACTCCATCAGTAATTACAAAGAACAGGATATCACTAATTAAAATGTGAAAGTGTCTTATGCAGGGTATAATAAAAAAGGGTAATTAACAATCAAAGGGAAAGCCACCACCTTGCCACCGATCTGTATTAGGCTTCAAAAAATAATAGTACTCAGCTCTAGTACAGCACTTTCCATCTGTAGATCTGAAGACACTCCTCGGTGGGGAAGCAGGTATCCTGTGTCCTCTTATATCACAGAAGAAACCAAGACAGGTTTACACAACCTGTGCAGAATTATACTGCAGATCAGTGGCAGAGCATCCTTTAGTTTGGTCTCTTTACCGATGGTGACAAGGAAAGTTTCAGCGTTAGAAGAAGCACAGTGATTTCAAGGATTTGTTTTAGTGTGTATGTGTATGAACAGCTAATCTAGATAATATTTCAACATTAAAGCGAACAGTAGGGAACAGTTTGTTCCTTCTCATGACTTTTGAGGGCTGTTTAAAGCTGAGAAGCACGTCCTGTATGCTTAAACAACAGCATCAGAGGATGATTTCCTGATGGGAGAGAGTGAAACCACAGAGAGCACAAAAACAGTTACTACAATTCTGGAGATAGCAGAGACATAGAATCATAGAATTACAGAATCACTTAGGTTGGAAAAGACCTCTGATATCACCAAGTCCAACCGTTAACCCAACACTGCCACAAGTCATTTCTAAAATCACTGCAGAAAAACTTTCCTTCTCCATGATTATCATCAAGTCATGCATTACCAGAGGCTTGGAAATTAACAGAGATTTTCCTGTTTACTGATCCTCGTTCCTGCACGCTTTCTCTAAGGATCCACTACGGGTCACTAGTAGAGTTTGTATATGGACTCAGACTTACTTCGTTTGGGTCTTCCTATAGCACCAGGGAGGAACACAAGAGGCAGCTTCTGTCTGCTTCACACGAGGAGCATTTTACAAGCCCACTTCAACCATTCTGTACACATGAACTGCACTGACTTATGTACTAGGTTCAGAGAGTAAGATAATGATAGCAAAGTCTGGTTTTAATGTAAGAATCATTTCCAGCATGCATAACCATTCATCATCCTTCCATTCAAACAAATATAGCCTGGGTTCGTTATTTCTGCCTATCTGCCCTAAAAAAAGGCAGCATTTTGACTACTTTCTGGAAAAATTAAAATAATTGGGGAAGTCATCCCAGATCAAAACCACAAGGAAAGGATTTTCCAAGTTTCCAACAGTGTTAATCTTGCTAAAGTAGGAGAGCTCCATTCTCTTGAGCAGCTCTTCCAGGATTCTCTGCTTGGTTGTGCTGGAAATAGGTGCTGTAACGTTGTTGGAAGATTTGGTTATGGTTTTGTCCAGTGCCCTCTAAAGACTTCCCAGCAACATATGAGAAAACTATTTTTGTCACTGACAGATGGAAACAAATCAAGCTTCCCCCACAGATCTAGCTAAGCTTGTTGCTCTGGAGAAACCGTCTCTTCTCCCCATCACTCAGCATAGACTGGTCTTCCATCATCATCCCCAGTGCTTTCCTAGAGCTTTGACTCAAGCCACCAAACCTCTTTGCTCAAGATCATATAAAGGCATTTCTCTGCTTTTCTCAGGGAAGTACTATGGACTCATAAGATTGAGTCCGGTTCATGGGAAACCTCCACAGTGGGCAACACATAACAGAGATGAGGAGTATAAAGATGCCAAGATGCAAAGATGCACTTTGCCTCCAGTTCCTGTATCAGGAAGGAAGGCCAAGGCTGTGGTGTACCACAGGCATGCTGAGCTGGCGTCTCATAACAGAGTCTGACTCGCACCCTGCCCTGGTCCCCATGCTGGTGCCGGTGCCATGGTCCATCTTACCGGTGACCGCGTGATGTTTTTTCCCTGCTCTCTCTCTTTGTTCCAGCTGATGCAGCAGCAAGCCGCGATCATGGCGTCAGTGGCGCAGGGCGGCTACCTGAACCCCATGGCAGCCTTTGCTGCAGCCCAGATGCAGCAAATGGCAGCCCTGAACATGAACGGGCTGGCTGCCGCTCCCATGACACCAACCTCAGGTAAGGGGGCAGTGGGATGGAGAGGGGAAAGGGTGGGAAAATCCCAGAAGAGACCTGTTAACTGATAGGTCCTCCCTCAGTGGTTGTCTATTGAAAAGTTGGTCTTGTTGGTGAAGGCCACCAGAAGTGAGGAGTGGAACCGGTCAGATCCTTTTGTGGTCTGGGAAAAGAGGAAAGTGGCAGAGGAAGGCTGTCACTGCCTCTTCCAGGGCTGGGCAAGTTGCAGGTCAACTTCTGCATTGTGAAGTAGTTGTAAGGGTAAAGACAAATGGCTCACCAGCAGTGGGCTGTTGGGCTATCTGCCCTGTGCTGAATGGCTCTTACTGGTGGGTGAGGAGAAGAAGAGGGTTGAAACCCATCAGAACCGAGACACAATGGGCTTGCTGGGGAGGAGAAAGGGTGCTGACAGGAAAGGCACTGGAAAAGGCCCTCAGACATAACCCTTCCCTTCAGCCTTACCCCTCACAGAACTTTCCTTTAGCTCTGAGTACCCTTCAAATGTCACAAAACATCCCCCAGTGCGTATAGATATCCAAGGGGTCAGTGCTGGTGCTGTCACAGCCAGGCTGGTACAAAGATAAAGGAAATAAGGTTTGTTGTGAGCAGAAATATCATTAACAAGATGAGCTATGTCATTGGGACACGTAAGCCTTTCTCCTGCTGTGAAATAGAACAGGAGGCACTCAGGGAAGATCTCTAGAATGCAAGTATTTGGAGAGAGTATTTCTGGCTTCTGAAGCAGAGACAGGTAGTCAGTGAAGTGCTGCCAGGATCTGGCTAGGCTGCAAGGTGTCACAGAAACCCATGGTAGGAGCTGCAGTATATGATTCAAAGGACAGAGAATAAAGATGAGATGGAAAGAGGAGTGGCTTTCATGGGGCTTGAAGAACAAGGAGATCGTATGGGCAGGAACAGGTCAACAAACCTGTTGGAGGAGGGACAGGCTGGGATAAAAGGGTCCCTGGGGGTGATGCAGGTTGCTCCTGTGAGAGACACTAGGGATGAGACTGTGTTTAGACAGATGTGGCATAGCAATGCCTTTGTGTGAACCTTGAAGCATCAAGCTGGCCTGGAGGGGATGAGCTTGACAAAGGTTTGAGATAGGATGTAGGAGGAGTGAGTTCTGGCTGAGCCAGCTGTGGTGCAAGCAGCATGGCAGAGCAGGATCGGGGACTCCAGAGCAGAGCTGTAAGAGACGATGGGGAAGCTTGAAGCCAGAGATAAAGAGTTCTGCAGCAGCCCTGGAGCAAGAAATGGCTCTCTCAAAGAAGCCAGGAAAGATGCACTGGATGGCAGGGCAAGGGCACCACAGCAATGGAGGCTGGGGTGCTGTTCCTGACCAACTGATTTCTGCTAACCTTATCTGCCAAAGAAAACCTCCCTTAGCATCTCTTTGCAGTGGGTGGCTGGGAACAATGTCAGAAGCTACTGGATCAGATACCTGTCTTTTCCTTTGCTTGTATTAGAATATGAAGAAGGGAAAAGGGGAGAGAAAGACAGATTTAATTCCACACAAACTTATGAAGACCCAAGGAAAAACACTTGACTCAAAAATCTCATGCCACACGTTTCAAAATATATGTTTACACAACGATAAATGTATAAACAAGAAGTCGATGGAGCTACTGCAAATCCAAATAGAAAAGTGGCTTAATTATATGTGCACCCTTTAAACCCGCTGCCTGAAAGATTATCATATTTGCATTAGCTAGATTTGTTTTGTGTTGGTGGGAGCAGAGAGAACGTCAAACAAAGACTGCCTGGAATTCAAATGTTCTCAGGGCCTGGAGAACTGAATCCAGTCAATGGTTAATGATATCCTCACCACAAAAGAGCACAAACTCTTGTGCATATAAATGTCTTGAGGATTAGCAAATTCTATGAAATAGGTGTGGAAATACCAGCACAACAGCCAAATCCTGTGCCTACCATGATACCCAGGACATGAAATATATCCCAGCCCTTTTTTGGTTTAAACCCTTTCTCCCCTTCTGGTGTGCCTTGTGCTTTTTGGGGACTGTTAAACTCTTATAATCAGAATACAGGAGAGGAAAGCTCATGGTTTCTACATGCTTTACAGAGCACCCATGACTGGTCATTACTGTAAATAAGATCCCTTGATCTTGTTCATGGTGGCAGATTTTGCAGCCTCCTCATGACACGATTTGAATCATGGAGTCTATGCACTTTGGCGTTATTGCAGATTTATGTTGAATGGGTACCTTCTTTCATTAAAAACCTTTGTAACAGGTTGTGGAAATGTCCACTGACAATTATTCCTTGGGTGAAATGTTTATACTTTGAAATGACTCCTTGTATTAGTACAACACTCACAAAGCTTGTGATAAGATGCGTAGAAAATGTTTCACATAACGTCTGAGCAAGCAAGCCTACAACACTAGCAGCGATTTCTGAGTAGCCAGGAGATATCTGAAGCCTAACATGAATTCTCCTGCTGGCTTTTGTTAGCATTCAGAAAGCCAAATGGAAAATGATCATTCTGCTTCATAGCAGGATTTCCAGTCATTGAAGTATATCTTTGTTCTGACTTGGAATGAAAATGAAACATTTCAAAGTTCTCTGAAAAACAGACATTAGAAAAAGCGTTTGGAACATTGAAAAAAAATTGAAGTGTTTTGATCTTTCCTAAGCAAAAGAAAAATTGTGCTAGAAAAAGGACACTGGTAACCCAGAAGTCCTAGAAGCTTTGGAGCTGAGCACAGTGCCTCTGTGCTTCTATCTTCAGGCCTCCTAATCCAGCTGTTTTTCTGTGTGTCCTGCCTCTAGGAGAGTGGGTTCCTTGGGACATGGCCATGAGTTCATTCAGGCTCACGAGTTCCCATGGTACGTAAGAAAGAGTTTTGGTTCCAGGCAAACCTAACAGACTAGAGACAGGATCCATCTCACCCTGTTTAACCACACAAAAGTTAGACATTTAGTTTAAACTAGTCACTGGGTTTGCTTGCAGTCAGTGGAGTGAAGTAGGCAGTCCCAGTGGGTAATTCAGACCATAAAGATTGTATGCCGTTTGCTGGCATCTAGACAGCAAGAGTCAGGTTTCCCATCAAGAGTCAGGTTTATCTCATCCAACAGCCCGTGATTGCGAGGCAATTAAATTGATGTCTCTGAAAGTTTCATTGAAGTTTTGCATTTCTCCCATCATTGGTGTAATCTGGGTGAAAAGTGGGGCTGCTACTCCGTTAACTGCACAGAGATACTAGAAATGGTATTTCATTTAAGCATCTCTCCATCCTTATCTTCTCTCTCCTTCCATATTGTAAATCTGCATCTGGTGTAGCTGCAGCAAAAGACCTCAAACCAGGGGTGAAATCCACAACTGGCATGCACCACCACCATTTGTTCTCTGTGGTGGCATTATGCCAGTTTTAACTCCTGCTACAGATCTGACCTCTCCAGGGGGGATCTTTCTTTATAAGAAGAAAATTAAAAAATTCCAATGAATATGCCTAAACTTCCTTAGACATGCAGAAAATAGTAAGCACAAATCCCTTGCTGTAATTTTAGAAAAAATACTTACATTGTCTATGCAAATAGAGATCTAGAAAAGCAACTGAAATTTAAACTAGCCTTTGTGATTTGCAAGCTGATGGCATATGCTAAGAGCATTGCCTTTGGACTCCAGTTGCCACTGCTAGCTCCCTGTACCTCCACAGAGGACATTTTTAAAGGCCAACACCATTTAAATAAGCAAAGTTGAAGCAGCAGCTTGTCTGCTCAGGGTATAGGAAAAGAGCTGAAATATTGCCTTCTTTTGGGGCTACTCAAATCAGAACATATTAAAGCATCCCTTGCTTCTGTATTGGCTTTCTTAAAGCAGCAACAGAGATTTAGGTAGTCATTAAAGTGTGTTATTGGACTAACCTATCATGGAACGCTGCTATGTGGAAGAAAATCTCTGCAATTGGTTTAAAAAAGGGGTTACTGCAAAAACGGTGCTTTCAATCGGTAGTATACCCTGACACAGAAAGACGTTGGTGGAGATAAGATAGTTTAACTTCCCACTCACAGCTAGCAAGAGAAAAACAATTTCTCACCCATTGAAAACTCATTTTAGGTCCCTAAAAACGTCCTGAATACATTGCAAGAAGCACAGACTGTCCAGTCATTTTAAACATACATAGGAGCAGGCAGTGAGGTAGCAGAGGGATTTAATTCTCCCCTCAGAAATTCAAAAATTCTCTACCAGTGGGTGACAGGATCTTGCCCAAAACACAAAGACTACATTTTTCTTCTGAATAGCAGCATCGCAGTCCCCCACAGGATGTGCCTGGGAAGAGGGAGAGGAGTATTATTCCGTGAAAGAAAGAAATCTAGCCCAAATTTTGCCCCTGTTGAGTGGGAGATCTCTGCAAAACTCTACAAAAGTCGAGTTATGGCCAAACATTGACAAAAAAGAAGAAGTATCACTGGCTGCCTCTAGGCTACAAGTCAACTTGCCAAACCTTTTAAATCCCTGGTGCTGAGAAAGTTCAGAATGAGTTTGTGCATAAAATGCACATTCATGAGGGAATGCAGACAGAGTAGTCCTGGAAATCAGTACACCCGCAAAGCTGACATCTCCAAAGAGAAACTGAGAGGGATTGCTGTAGAAAGGTGGGACTGAGAATTTGCTTCTGGTGTTAAATGATATCTAGGAAAGAAACATCTGCTTATTTAGCAATTTAAACAGGTAATACTCTAGGGAGAAAGTTGAGGAGGAAGGGTCATATTTCTATACTTTTTATTGCTTGATGTTAGCTGTGGATCTAGCCTAGAGAGACTGATCACCAAGCAAAACCTTCATTCTGTTGAAGAAAGTTTTGCAAGCCTTTCTTAAGTGCTTTCCAAACAGAGAAACAATTGGCAAGAAGTCCCTTTCTTTGCACAACAGCTTGGGAGATCTTTCATTTATTATCAGAAGATTTCTGTGTATTTTTACTATGCAGTTCTTGCTTCCAGTACTCACAAGCTCTGGTTTTGTGTCCTCCCCGCTTGCAGGTGGAAGCACGCCTCCTGGCATAACTGCACCAGCTGTGCCTAGCATCCCATCTCCAATTGGGGTGAATGGTTTCACTGGCCTCCCGCCGCAGGCTAATGGGCAGCCCGCCGCCGAAGCCGTGTTTGCTAATGGCATTCACCCTTACCCAGGTAAGTCAGACCAGTGTTGTGCCCACAGCCTTCTCTGTCAGTCTTAGGGAGATTGTCCACATCCACAGACTTCATCTGGCATGATCCACCTGAGAAGGATTACACCGCACACCACTGCGGCTTACTTTACTATTGGTGTAGCTAGATCTTACCGAGCTGCAGTTGTTATACACTTAAATCTGGATGAGAAGCATCAACAGCATGTTGTAGGTGGAAAATTTTTATGCTAAAGAATTGAGTACTCATCTGTTGGGTGACTTGCCTGAATACAATCAGGACACCCAGCATGTTTTGCTTTAGCTAAAATTCAGTCCGAGCCTGATCAGTTCATACTGACAGATCTCCCAGCAGCACTTCCAAAGGTCTTGTTCCTGGCTCACCTTGAAAGAGCTGTGCTAAGCCTGTTTGCATCTCCTAGCACCCACCATCAGTATCTCTTACTGGGATTCCCTTGCATTGGATGGCTCTGAGAGGTTGACTCCAGGGAGTCCACATGACTGCTGACCAAAACTGCTCCATGCCCCAGACTATGTGTGCAAGTAGCACGTGTTGGTCTCCAAAATGCTCACTGCATCCAAACCCTATTGCCTTACCTGGCCTGGAGACTGAAGCACCTTTAATACACCCACAGAATGGGCTCAGTTTCACCTCTTTGTGACACACCATCAGAGAACTGCTGCTGGGATACAGACTGCGACTAGCTCAAAAGATGGCAGCGCTGAAGGAGTGATTTTGCAAGCCCTGGCAGTCAGAAATGAATGAGGGACATTAAAGAATACATACCTGCCTCTATACCCATACTTATATATATGGACACGCTGATGCTGTAATAACGAAGAATTCAGTAGTCTACAAGACCTTAACAAACGCCTACAAACAAACACATTTTTTCAGCATCCTCAGTATTTGAGGTAGCCATCTACTCCAAGCCATACTTCTTCTAAGAAGACATTCCTCACTATCACTGTACCCATAATAATGATAACAATTATAACAGTAAAAATTTAAGTAAATGTAACTAATTTATCCTAGCCACCAGCTGGCAAAAGAGTGCTTTATTCTGGGGCACACGTCGATCGATCTAATTTATTAGGAAATCAAATACTGACTTAGATGCTCCAGCCAAAAAGGCCACAAAACCCCTAAAAAAAAGAACTCTTTCAATCTCACCGGTCCTGAAAACTCAGAAGATTCGATATCACAGGGGACTTTGTAAGATGCAAGGAAAAATACCACATAACATAGAAATACAAAAGTTACAGTCTAGTTACAGTCCAGTGTTACTGATAAAAAGCCACCTTGTGAATGCAACAAAGCCCAGATATACCAAGAATACTGTAAAATAATTATCATCCTCCCCACATACACTTTGTAGACATTCAGCCATGAGCTCAGCTTTAAGCAGAATTGAAATCAAGTGCCTTACTGTGCTGAAAGTTAGGCATGTATATACATGTTTGTGGTAGCTTAGAGGGATGGGGAGCTCTTGGAGACTTACGGAGGCATTAGAACACATTAGAGCCCTTATGCTCTCTGAGCTCAACCATGGTACCCTGTCTCTAAGGTTCTACAAATACAACAATCTGTTCAACTGTTCATCTGTCTGTTTGCCAGTCTATCATCTCTCTGTTTATTCATCCATTCCTATCTTTTTCCTGGTTTATCTAGCTCTTTTTAGGTAAACTTGCATGATCCATTACTGAAGGTATCAGAGAAAAGATGGTCATTCTAGATGAATCTTAACAACTTGAGCTTTTGCTATTATCTCAAACTACCCCCCATAATTAAAGCAAGCTTTCATTTAGGTATTTCATCCATGACTATATAAAAGTCAATGGCCTTAGTCTGATTCCCTCTGAGCTGTGGAGAGACTGCTCAGCCAGCAATTCACAGTACATCCCTGCACAAATACCAGCAGCTCAGCACACTGAAAGGTGACAATCAGTCTTGCTCCACTTTGCTGCATGCAGAGAGGCCCCTTTCTACCAGTGAAGCTGACATCCAAATAGTCTGCTTTGTGTAAAGTTTCAATTTATGTCAGTGTGTCTTCAGCAATATATTGGTCTTTCTCGGTGCTCAGCTTCCCTATAAGTTAATGACATCTGAAGTTATAGCAGAGGTGTAAAGGGAACAGTGGTAAGCTCTCTCCCTCACCTCTCAGTTTACTTCTGCCAGTCCACACCAGCAATGAAACCCTGAAAGCAAGCTCCTTTGTAGCAGTCTGGATGTAGCTCATGAGCATCATGTGTTTGCTCCATCTTACTTTCTCCCTTCTCATGAGCATTTATGCACTCTCCCAAACATTACTCCTTCCTACAAGCTTTATTGAGGCCTAAAGCTTGGCAGCATTTTAAAAAATGAATTAGACATTTATATGGGTAATGAGAACATCCACAGCCATATTAGACTGGACAGAAATGTAGGAAGTACACAAACCTTTATGCTTTATGATATAAGACAGCCACTAATTGCTTGGGGTTAGAAAGAAATTTTCATCACTGGGCAACTTATTCCATCATTGTTCGTTATGGGATTTTTTCACACTTTCCGCTGTAGCTTTTGTTACTGGCACTGCCCTGTGATTCTGCATGTTGGTGCTTCCAAATGCAAGGGTAGAAATAAAATATTAAAGCTCAGCATGTAATTGCACTAACATTATAGAGAAGAAAAGACCGTGCCAGTCCCCATCCAAAGTCAGCATCTTCCAAACAACTTTATTTTATGGTATATTTCTCATTTTGGAAGTGGCTAAGAGTGTTGCAGTATTATGTACATAACCATAGTCTTGCTATGATTGTGGCTTGCCATATATTGTTTAAAGCCTGAATTTTGCTCTCAGATACTCTTTCATACTCCACAAAAATCTCAAATGTGGGCTCACACCATTCTATTCTGTAACAGAATGTTCTTTGCTGCCTGAAAATAGCAAAAACAGAACTATCAAAATCTGTAGAGGCATGACATACACATAATTCAGACCCAAATAAATCCCATTAATTGTGCAGTTTGTCTACACATCCACCTTTGTGTCTAGCTATAATATTTTTGGTGCTGCACCTAAAGGACTCCAGAACTGCACAGTCTTTGCACTATAAAAACAGGTCCATATCATGTAATTGTATTTACTCTGTAGTTTCATTCCTTTTTTTTTTTTTTTCCCATCTTCCCCTGAGCTCTTTTTTTTAAGGTTCCCTTTGTCTGGAGCAGGGACAAACATGGTAGCATGTGATTGCTGAACCATCCATGGCTTTGAGGCAAAGACAAGGGTAGGCTGAAAGTCCCCACTCACCAAGTCTCTGATCACAGCCCCAGGCCATACAGGAATCAGGTTTTTCTATGGCTCTGGTGAGGTTATGGGTCCGTGCAGTAGCAGTAGAAAACCATTCCTGTAGGCATACTCTTAGCAAGCCATGCTCTCACCTTCTCCAAGCTCTGCCAGTATATAATGCCTCACAGTGCACCTTTTGGCGTGAACAGAAGGGAGTAGATATTTCCCCTTCGACTAGTCTAAGCCCCTTTGGAGAGCTGACCTTTTTGTGTATTAATGCCAACCCTTTAGTCTTTCAGCTTGCAGAGCTATTGAACATGGCAATGTGTCACAACATATAGTTGGGACAAAAAAGCATAATCTGTTGTGCCATGATCTTGTGAGTCACTTTCAGCAGCGCAAGAGCGCTTGCCGTTTCCACATTAACCATAGTAACAGGGATTGTGGTTTTCTGCCAAAGATTCTTACCCACCCATTGCCCAGTGCCTCTCTTGTAACAGTGTGTGATGTACAATAACAGTGGAGACCATCTGCACTGGTTTGTACTGTGTCTCACACCATCAGCACTCTGCTCTCCAGTAACAGGTTCTGCCCTACTGGATTGCATTGTGAGAGACTGGATGAAATGCTCTTTGCAAAAATAAAGCTTCCTTTGAAAGGGAAGGGGAGGGAGAGATGAAAAAAATGAAGAGACCAAGGGGCAGTAAGCAAAATAGAGGAGGGATTGGCTGTCAAAGGAGCAGTGAAATGGGGGGAACTGGAAGGAGGTACAAAGCAGGACCCTCAGAAAAGAGTGAGCACTGCTTTACGGTCTTCTTCCCATTGATGTGCCCATAGCATCCAACAGCTCCCAGACAAAATTATTCCTCCTGAGCCAAGGGATGTCCAGATTGACCCAAGCCAGGGATGGACCAGTGGTATGGCAGCTTTGTGGAGGCTCAGACAGGGAATGCTTTCCAGGATGCTGAGTGCTTCAGTGCATTTGCTGAGGAAAACAAAAGCAGTTCCCTCAGTTGCTCATAATACATTAAAACGTGTCATCTCTTTTACTGTTCACAGGCACACAGTGGTTGCCCACCACTGCCAGGACTAGCTCTGTCTGTCCTCTCTACAGAGACAGCAGAGGTTCCCCCACTCCTCTTTGGTTACACTGTGGGTACATCTGGGCTAGCAAGACAGCCAACTCCACTCCATGCCCTACTTGGGGTTCAGCCCTCTCAGGTGAGGACTAGCTGACAGTACGAATGGGCAGCCAAGCTTTTATGCCCACATATTTACAGGCCACTGCTGAGATTGGCAGTGAAGGTGTCTCCCACGGGGGAGTTCCTGTGCTGTAGAAACTCGTGTCTTAGGAACTGAACCGAGACCATCAATTCATTTTCCTTGGCTCAACAAATTGCTATCAGGCAGCAACCAACTTCACCCATTGCCAGCAGAGACAGGATTCAAAATCCATCTGTAATTATTATCATTACACAAGCTAATTTTGTAGGAGAGGAGCTGCTGGTAGGCTAATATGACAGGCTTACCTATTAGCTTTTCAACTGGCTAGCAGTGTTGCTGATGGGCAGGGTGGCTGCTCTGGACCAGTCCTGATCATGACAGACACCATCCAGGGGCATCGGGCAAGATCAGAGCTTCACTTGTGCAGGAAGAGAAGGGGACATGTAGCAACAGGACAAGGAGGAATGGCTTTAAACTCACAGAGAGGGATTTAGATTAAACATTAGGC